GCACTTTTCTGATTCATACATGCACGATATTTATGCATTTATTCACTTTGACTCTATGACAAAGTACATTATCAGAAATATGCTTGGCAGTTGGTGTTAGATGAAGTCAGTCAGTTCATCGAAATAGTCCAGTAGTTCTGCATCCAACTCAATTTGCTTATCTTTCGCGAAAAGTGGTGGTCCTGATCTCCCTTTTCTTTTGTTTGAAATATTTGTAACATCCCTTATGAATAGAGTTTATACTTCTAAATAGAAGCAGACATATATCATCTCCAGATTTAAATCTGGCCCAAGATATAATGTAAAGAATTACAGGGTGATCAATACAACGTCTGTTTTGTCAAGGATACTTGACAAGATTATCGGTACTGAAATCACCGGCTTCTTATTGACTGAAAACCTCATAACACCTTTTCAGCACTGTTTTATACAGTCCAGGTCACATATAATATGTCACTTCGAACTATTTGGCTTCATCACTAGAATTAAAAATGGAAAATTCGTTGTACTTGTCATGTATATTGGTCTTAAGAAGGCATCCGATAAAGTGTGTCATAGTTTGCTCGTAAAAAGCATGGAAGCTCATGGTATATCTGACAATGTTTTGCAGTGGCGTAATTCATTTATATGTGGCCGGTCACAATCTGTTAAGATTAACGACACATTTTCTAGTACCAACCCTACATAAAAAGGCGTAATTCAAGGTAGTGTACCAGGGCCCCTCTTTTTCCCTAGATGCCTAGATGACACCTATGAAGTTATAAAGTATGGTAGACACTGCTTATATGCCGATGACTTTCAGGTGGTTTACCACAGTACCACCCTAGAAGTGACAAATATATCTGATAAAATTCAATCCGATATTGATAGTATTGAGACTTTGTGTAAGTTGTGAATGATGCAGATCAACGTGGAGAAGTGTGGTCTGTTATGCACAGCTCGCCTTTGTATCGCGCTAGACAAAACTACATACGACAAGACAATCATCATTTTCTATTCCGTACTTGACCTCGGGCTCCGTTACTGTGCCGACTTTAAATTCTCCCATTATGTTGTCAACCAACTTTCCACAGCCGGAAGATTACTTGGATTTACATTTCATAACTTTCAAACCCAAGAATCTAAAATGATGTTGTACAAAACTTACATTCGGCCCCTCCTTGAGTACTGTCCATTTGTCCTAGACAGCACCTCTGTTGAGGCTAAACTAAAGTTTGAAGATGTCCAAAGGAGGTTTACAAGCAGAATTTTAGGAACGAGTCTGAAAGTTTCCTACAATTATCTTTGTGCAACTGTAAAGATCGAAACCCTTTTGTCCAGGGGTCAACGACTTATCCTCATTCTCCTATCCGAAAATTTTAAAGGAACAGTATACTTTCCCAATAACAACCTTTACTTCTTCAACGTATGAATTACGCAGCAACGGGTCTCCTCTAAGTGATATTCTTTGTCCGAAGAAGTCTCGTTCCAACTTCTTTACAGTTAAATATAGGCGAACATGAAACTTCCTGTCAAGTGAAGTCAAGACCAGCACCACAATATAACGATTCATCCATCTACTAAATATATATTTCTGCGAAAACAGTCTTGACACAGTTTGCCACACTTTGAAAATTCGTGATATTTTATCTTTCCTTTTGACTTACGTACCTAAACAGCTCTGTCCACTCAACGCATCAACAGAAACGGTCAGAATTATCACACTTATTTAAAATATAATCAACATTGTGCTAACGCAGTTCTGAGTTCTTTTTTTAGTTGAGCCAATCATTTGTTTAGCAAGCCTCATCTCAAAATATCCACAATCCTTTCATACAAACCTGGAGTGGAATACACAACCTGACGTATTCACCACGAAGGCTGCACTAAATCTACATGAAACGCCCTCTCTGCAAACATATATGCATCGTCTGAAAAACTGCCAGCCTCATCTGTCTTACCTTTATAGTCATTCAACCCCATTAAACCCCGGCTGCTGACTGTCACATTTATCAAATATTATAGGAAAAAGCTCTATCAACCCTGTGTTATGAGCCTTTCAGTGTGGTAAGATTTCTACCTCGAAGTTGATTAGTGAACATTCTGGATATGAACCGGATTAAAATTTCCTCTGATGACTGCCTAATGCTGTGCGTAAATATCATCTACGTCTACGTATATTCCAGCCCCCCGGGGGATCATCTAAATAATCGACTTAACCAAACTATCAGTCTTAAATATTAACGGATTTTGTTTTAGCGTTCTGTAACTATAATCCTGTGGAGTCAAGATCTTCTGAATCATCCATTATAATTACACACTTAAAATAACCATTAGTGGGAACACAATAAAATTCAGTGACTATAACTTCTTGGCAATACTGTTTGTTTTAAATAATTAACACTTGCTGGCTGTCTCTGCACCTCTCTTGCTGTTTTCTTCTGTCTTCTCTTTCGAAGGTTATTATTAGCACGTATGATGAATAACGGAACATTCTCCATCATGAAATCTGTTTATCATCGCAAAGTTGGTCCCATAAATCTGCTAACATCAAAATAAAGCTGTACTTACAGGCTACTTTAGAATATTATAAATTTTCAAACTCTTTCTAATTGATTAAATGATAAACATTGTAAATCCTGCATTCTATGTGTTTTACATTAGCACCTGTGTATCATATTCTTTCTTAGCTTCCAACAACGCAACCTTTTCTAATTCCCGCTTGAAGCTGACTGACTATAGGTATACCAACAGTTAAAAAGTTGGACTTTAGGCGATATCTTATAATCCATTCGATTAAAAAGTAAACATTACAAGCTTCTAATACAATTTCTAGAATTTTTCTCCCTTGTCAATATTTATGTCATAAAACAGTGGTCAATCCAAAATTATTAATGTCAAATATGATCATACCTGCACAAATGGTATGTCATTCATGCAAACGCTTAGTTTATGTGAACAAAGATATTAAGTCGGACAGTGACCTATATCGACTAGAATGTCATGATTCCTAAGAGTACAAATGATGTGAGGGAAAGATTTAATAGTTGGCCGGGGGAAAATTAATTAAACTGTAGTTGAAAATAAGGTTTAGATTAAGACGTCTTGTAAAATGGGGTTTAATTTTCAGACGCTTCCAAGGCTCAGCGACGTGAAGAACGCATTATCTTGCTTTAGAATGCGGTGATAGGGCCTAAAAAATGTCAGTCTTGCCAGATAGACACTAAGTGGATACAACACCACTGAATATGAAATATTTAAAAGACTGACAAGCACCATTTGATAACACGTCACACAGTAGAATCTTAATTATTCTAGACTAATCTCTCCGTACGCGTCTGTCACTAACCGATTTTTCATATATACGACTCTGCAACGGGTGAAGCGAAACGACAATACGTTGTTCGTGTGGGAGAAAGACACAGACAATCGTGCGTCACCATAAAACGTGAAGACTCTCAACAGGAAGAAGCTTGAGATCACTTAACTCTGCAGGACAATCACTTAGCTGTTGTTGCATTCTGCCAATGTCTTAACTGTGGGGACTTCCCTGCCCTTCTAAACACCTTTAAAACTAACTTATTCCATCTCAGCATGCAATGCAAGTCAACTGTCATGTGGTCACGCTGTTGAAATTTAGTCAATGGTTTACTGGAAATAGGAATAACCACTTAATACAGAATTAAAACATCCCCTCGGAGATCGTAAAACTGATTACCCACCACATACAAGATTACATGGATTTATGCCATCCGTTCTTCATTTTTGAAAAATCGCACCAGTGTATATGGAAAAACAGTCTACACTTCTTATGTACCAATCCCTACGTCAGTTACAACAGAACATTGTGGGACTGTTTACTGTGGGAGCAGGCTGAACTTTCAGTTAACTGCATCACGGACTGTGAACACCTACAAAATTTATCACTTCAAACTGTAACGTCTTACCCAGGGGAACGACATTGTTGAAGATGCGGATAACCATGAAGTACGATATTCCTGGGACTCTGCATTCGAAATTTATAAGCGCCCATTATTTTGGTATTGACAACTACAGGGAAGACGTCATTTCACGACATTATTGAATTTACTATGGTAGTGTATACATAACCCGGATAACCAAGTGACTGGGAAACTAGATGTGCCATACAGAAGAACCCTAACAAAGCTTGTTAATCACACCGACGCGTTCTACCACAGTAAAACCCATGCTGTCTCGTAATAGGACATAACCGAAACTAACGCCAGCGTCCGCCTACCCTAACTACATCTTCAATGCAAAACCATTGGGGCTCAGACCACAACTAACACTAAGTCTCCTGTGAAGCCCTAGATCTACCTCTCTAGTGAAACTGTCAAACCTTAAAAGACAAGTGCAACATGTGCAGTGAGTGGGTAAACCTTTCACTTCGGGAGTCTCTATCATTGAGACCAACATTAGGCCTATGTAGTCTTTGAGATGAGTCTCCTTATCTTAGAGATTACAGCTACACTCTTTAATTAGTCCCTAGTTTATCTTACAGGTCAATAGATTCAATCAAAACGCCCTCCACGTCACTCTTCTAGACTAAATAATTTCAGAAACCTGATACCCTTCAAACATGTGACATTCTGCACAGTGCATGCCACCTCACAAATTCATACCTGCAACCTAAACCAATCAATAAGCGCTCCATATATATGAATATGCCTACTTACATTAGGGTCCCAAACCTTTGGTTGAAATGGACAGGTAGCATAAGCCTTGTAGAGAATCACGCAGTAAACCAGCTAAGAGGCAGTTGACTCTGCCAGTGCTACTTATTTCTGCAGACTGGGGTGTTGGGGACGGACGTTGACTGTTTGGACTCACTAGTCAGCAGTCTTGCCGGCAGGTACATACTCCCAAATGAATCTACCGAATTGTTACGGACCATTCCATCAAAGCTAAATCCTAGCACTCGGCATCTGGTACTCAGACATTTTTACCCGAATAAACGGGAAGATTTGATCCACATCTCTGAAGAATTACAATGCGACGACTGACGTTAAACACACGTGTATTGTCCGTAGAAACGATCAAGTGTACAAATAACACCAACCCTCACATTACAGTCAAAGTTCGAGAAGTACAATCTGGGAAAGTTTTATTACACTGAATTATAATCGTTCGAAAAATCTGAAGTCATATTGGAAACTGAATTTCATTTTATTCACAGGTCCTCGTCACCTTCATCTGGAAGAGGAGCATCAGCCGCCATCTGAAGAAATGTCAGAAGGAAAACCGACACACTCACCTGTATTTCCTGTTCGTACTGCTTAACCAAATTGGGATCGATCTGGATTTCCGGAGGCTCCATAGCGGGCATTTCAACAAACTCTAAGTTCGGATCACCGACCAACTTACGACCAAGCCACAAGAATGGCTTTTCGAAGTTATAATTGGATTTTGCTGATATATCATAATACTACAAGATATAACTACAATTTCCAACTTACTTGAAGGTTCTTCTTGCGATGGAAAGTTATGGACTTTGCTTTCACCTTCCTGTCCTGAATATCGACTTTATTACCACACAAAACGATTGGTATGTTCTCGCAAACTCGCACCAAATCCCGATGCCAATTGGGTACGTTTTTGTATGTGACACGACTTGTGACATCGAACATGATGATTGCACACTGGCCTTGTATGTAGTAACCGTCCCTTAGACCACCAAATTTTTCCTGTCCTGCAGTATCCCAAACGTTAAAACGCATTTTTCCACGTGTTGTATGGAAATCAAGTGGATGTACCTCAACACCCAGGGTAGCTGCAAAAAAGTCAGCAAGTATATGCGATTCGTACCAACATATTTCTTCTCAAACTCTCCAGTGATATGGCGTTTCACAAAGGTAGTTTTTCCAGTACCACCGTCGCCAACCAAAACTAATTTAAATACAGCCACCGGGCCTTGATCCACCATAACTGCAAGTCAACAATGCAAGTAGGGTCTGTATAGTCCAAGCAACCCTGCCTTAAAATTTGTAACGGGTAGTCCTCGCGCTTGTAATAGAGCTGATTTAAACAAGTGAAATGAACAATGTGATACCCGAAATGTGCATATCAACAAATAGAATTCGAATCAATATTTCATTTATCTAATATTTAATATTCATAAAGGTGTAATATTCTTCATGCTTTTATTTCCGCCTGTATGTTTATTGTGGAAAATCTAATTCAAGAGAGAATGTTTTGTTAGGGGATTCCATCGCAGTGACGAATGCCCTAAGATGTATGTGTTCACTCCTTGGGTACCTTCTGCCTCTGAAACCAGTTCAACTTGATTTTTATACACACTGAATGCTGTCTGACTTCAGTGGTACCTTTGTTTTCAATAGGCATTTTGATTGATAATAACTTATTCAGCAAAGTAGCTAAACTAGAACTATCGGCATTAGAGCTAACCACGCTAATACATTTCATAAAAAGGGTGGGCAGTGAAATAGTTTAGGTGTGAAAATCTGACAGAAATATCATAACATGAGTTCGAAGATATTAGAACAGAAAATTAAATGCTGAATAATAGGGACAAAGGGCAATTTAGTACTGAGTATTTCCCTCGGTCTCTGTTTTCAGCTTCAGAAAACAGGTCGCGAATGAAGAGTCGTTATAATTTCGGAATATGCTGGGATCCATCGTCATATTCTGGTGAGTGGTCTATATTGGTATCTGAACTATGTGGTCATGTAAGTGAAGTCTATGACCAAGACTAATGATTCATGAAAACCTCAGGAACTCGAGAGTTTAAATGAAGATCGGTGATGCGACTGTTTGTTTAATTACTTCATTGTTAATCATGTTCTTATATTACGCCTTTTTATCACCCTCACACCTGATATTTGCAGTGATGTGCCCAACCTAAATGAGAAGTATTCTCTGGATAGTATATGTTTTTCGACAACCGTTTACTAACTCTTCTAACCCTTACGTGATTAAAGCCACGGAAAGGTGCAGAAATTTGCCCAGATTATTGATGACTGCAGTACCCGTCATGGAGAAATCGCCATGGACGTCTGTCCTCCAATTCCTGAAAATAATCTTAAACCAGTAACTATCAAAATTGTCATTCCTCGGACTGATGTGCTTTCGTTACAACTTTCCTATAGGACTTAATCAACAAGGAAGGGGCAGATGAGTATATATTTATCTATTTGATTAAGGCACAGAATGTAAAACCTATGATTTATGCATGATCAAATGGTGATTAGATTTGAAATGCAACTTTGCACAATGAATATGCACTACATTTTGAATGGATGCGTTGTAAATTCATCTTCATTTACTCAAAAACTCTATTCTGGAGTAGTTAACAGAATTTTCGCATGACTGAATACCGTTTTAGTTTTTAATTACAGACCAGGCCAGAAATGTATTGACACGTTTTATTTTGAGAAAGCCAGACCGTGCTGACTATTGAACTGATGCATTCGACGGTAAAATCAGTGTCGTTCAATTCTAGCAAGCTTTCTTGTGGGATACGCCTTCAGTTACTATAGTTCGATCAGTGTTCTTAGTAGACATTCTCATCATGCCTCGAGGACACGAAACCCTTGGTTCAATCACATCTCCCCCGACACATATTTCTTGCATTTAATGAAGTTGACTAGTCAAATTCGCTTTGTGTGTACTGCAACGAACAGTCATGTAGACAGTTAGCCAGTGAATATTGACATCTATGATGCAAGTTTCGTGCAGCCTGGAGGTTTCGGAAAAGTGACTCTGTCCTCTACCTAACATGGAATCTAGACATTGGTCTCTTGATCCTCTTCTTTTACCTCAGCGACAGACGCAGCACAATTTGTCCCTACACACAACACGCGCTTATATCATGAATGACAGACGCTTTTCAGATTGACTGATTGTACACAAATATCCTACTTTTAAGGCCCTAGATGCCTCACTATTTTTCTCATTCCACTGGGCACCTCACTTCCTCCCTCACACTCACCTGTGGACAACCTCACAAAGAACCGTATGTGTAATCATCAATTTGACTATGCGTCATCCACAGTGTTCCGTCGAACCGTGTGTATACCTTTGATATAAGAATAGAACTTGTGCACTGTGACAGAGTATCATTCCATTGTGGATAAAATTTATTTTGATAAAATCTCACAATGTTATGCAGTAATATTTACTGATGACGTTTCGAGCACAATTTATTGCTCATAGTCATATCAAGGTTGTGTGAGTACCTTGGTATGATTATGAGCAACAAATTGTGCTCGAAACGTCATCAGTAAATATCAACGTATAACACGTGTGTGTATCTGTCGGTACCTGTATCCTACCGTCCTACAGTCTCTCAAAGACCGATTTTAGTCTCGACCAGATTTAAAGTCAAAATTTACACTGACAGTTAGAGTGATGTCGCATCAATAACTCAGAATTTTCTATTCTTACGAAAAGCACTGACCTCCACCGCAGATAAGAACAAAGGGCTAGAATGGCCGCTAAGAATTCAGGAGAAACGAGGGTTAAATATATGACTGTGTTTTCAGTGAATGTCAGTGCCTCAATTCTTCTCTCACAGAAAGAAATTCAGCTCTAAATACAACGTTCTCAATGAGCGCATATTCTACGACTGAGACAGGAAATGCATAATATGCACCAGAAATCAATGGTTACTCACAAGCGTGGCTTTATTTTAGTGACGATTTTGGGTATTTTAGTAAATCGATTGGACCAATAAATTTGCACACTGGTTGACTTTTAAGTTTCTCTAAGAGTTTCCTTCTACTGTAAACTTCGAATTACACTGATTTAGTCATAAACCAATCCAGCAGTGTTATATATCGAGCAGGAAGATGGCAGCGTATATGAAACTGTATTTATCTGGAACACTGGAAGAAGAATAAAGTGAGAAGATTAAGGCGAACATGCTAAAATGTATTCATCAATGAATTACAGCCAAGTCTTACAAGTTTTAAAAAGAATGTCAAATCCATAGTTCACACCGAACTGTTAACCGTTGTCGTACAGCATCTTCCAGTCATAAATCTCCCGTTAAGCTCTTCTGTTTAAAATGTGAAGCCAACTCAGTTGACGTCGTTTAGTGGCATCTTTCTGCTCTGTTGGACATATGGTCGGTGGAATTCGGAAAGTAAACCCAAGTATTGCCAACTTATTGTATGGCATTCGTTTAACTTACAACTATCCTTCATTCATCACGGGCCTGTCTTGAGTAAAATGCTATACACCATCAGTTTCAACTCACCAGTGACCCGTTCTTAAGTTTCCGTTTGTTAGAGACACGTGAAGTCTTTTTGATGTAGTTGTGTTCTCTGGGCTGGATAGTTTATTTGCGAAGCTTTGATTGTCCTACTAGGCAACACCTTCAGCACATACTTCAATTCGAACTGAGCTTTTAGATTTCTCTATGGTTTTATTAGTCATCTCTCCTGGTGACGTTGAACGTAATTGGTTGTTTTTGTGTTTTCACACCCTCTAGGTTATTTGCACTGGAACCCATTGTCTCCTTGACTTGAACTTTGACCCTTTGTGAATGAGATTTCCTTCTTATCGATTGGTAAATTTTGTCTTGAGTTTTATCCAACTCGTTTCTTTTGATTATTACAAATGTGTCATCTACATAACGTATCCAAATTTTGTGTTTGATCTTTGGCGGGATTATGTTTTCGGGCCTTTGCATCACTGCTTCTGCAATCAAACCTGATATTGGCGATCCCACGGGTGTTTCTTCAGCTTGTTCACACATTTGGCCGTTGAATTGGAGGTACTTTGTTAGACATAGGTTCATACATTCCATCCAACTTATGTGTTGCATTTTTGATTGTTGTGAGAGGTGCATTATATTTACTTGAGGTGAAACCTGAAAACGAGCTTGAAGTCATTTAAGTAGCAAAACAAACTGGCCTCCCTAGTTCAATGATTCTGGTATGATCAATGCTGACCCAGCCATCCTCTGCTCTAAATTATCATGCAACAATTTTCATGACACACTGAGATTTTTCCTGCTACCAAGCACACAACAGCACCAATTCCGGTGCTGTGAGACAGTATTAAATACTTTCTTTTCCGCCACATATGATTCATGGGTTACGCTTTCAAATTCATTGGATGAAAGCATGCAAACTTATACTATCCGAGGTCTGCTGGACGGCAGAAATACTGAGGATACATACAGTGACACAGGCGATTTTCGACTCACCTTGATTTCTTTCTCGGTATTTGTCACGTGGCTATCTCGGGCTTTAGTCAAGCATTCATTTTCTACTGGTAATTAACACTGAACTTAACGTTCAGCCTATTTAGGGGGTAATATTAAGGCTGTGTCACTTTTCTTCTTGGCACGCCTCAAAACTTTTATTTCACGGACGACTACTCATTGGGACCTTTAGTTGAAATGTCACGCATTCAGCCATATTATTTCACAAAATGTAACTCCTCTCGTTCGGATTATCTGTTTAAGTTAGTGACTACGTTATTGTTTCTCTCATCATATCCTTCCAATTACAATATTTATATAGAGTACCTTCATATAGTGACTCTACATTTTCATGCGTATACCGTATACTTCTTACATGGTTGCTGTCATTTAATATTTTGGTTTGTGGGAAAATTCTGATAACTAGTGATTCAATGGAGCACATCAAGAAATATAGAAATACTGACTTCTCATTAACAAAAAATCCCAAGTATGCGTTTGATGGATTACAGATATTTGGGAAAATAAATAAAGCTTGAAGTCAATTCCCTCATAAAACAATAAAATGCGTCTTACAATAACATATTCCCATTGTATGCACTTGAGGGACTCCAGTTGACAGGCATCATCAATATGAAAATTATGCACACATGGAGTAAACATGTTTTAAATTGTCCACTAACACAAGATATATATACAATATTTATATAGAGTACCTTCCTATAGCGACTCTACATTTTCATGCGCATACCGCCAACTCTTCTCACCTTCAAACTACTGGATGATATCGATGACATAATTCCCTGAATTACTGGTCGTTCAAAGATGTACCATTGGCTACAGATGCACTGGTGCTATACTTTCAAAAATTGTGGCA